AACGTCGAGAGAGAGGAGCCCGGCGGAGTGCAAGGCCCAGTGCGTGTGGGTGCGGCGTGCGCGCAAGCGCCGCGCGCCTCTGCCACCCGCGCGTGCTCGACCAGCCTGTGCAGCGCGTGTGCGAGGGCGAAGGTGGCGTCGTAGCTGTACATGGCGTAGATGTCTAGCTGCTGGTTGTCCGACCCGGAGCACACGAGCGGCGTGCTCGCGTTGCCTACGGCCCGCGCCAACCCCGGCTCACCTCGCGGAGCCGCGCACGTGCACTCGGCACACGGCCGGCGTCTCTCGCGCTGCCGTCGTTGTCCGCCGCCCACATCTGCACCCCGTCGTCGTCGATCTCCAAGTCGCAGTTGCCGGCGCCGTCGCCCGCCGTGGAGGGCATGGCGCTGCGGCTCCGATTGTACCGCCGGAAGATGGGCGAGTCGGTGCTTGCGGACGGGGTGAGGCCGAAGAAGCCCTAGGGAGTGTCTGGGAAGTGTCTGGGGAGTGTCTGGGAAGTGTCTGGGAAGTGTCTGGGAAGTGTCTGGGAAGTGTCTGGGAAGTGTCTGGGAAGTGTCTGGGAAGTGTCTGGGAAGTGTCTGCCTGGAAGACGTGCCGTCTGACCGTCGGGTCCTCGATGCGCGCCATGGTCGAAGCCTGCGAGACGGCGTCGGAGCCGAGCCAGAGGAAGCCAGGCCCGCCCACGCCCGCGTCGTAAGCCTTCTCGATGAAGAGGGACGCGTCGTACCCGCCCGCGAAGATGACGATCACCGTCGCGCCAGACGCGCGCAGCGCTTCCGTCTGCTCGCTGAAGTCGCTCTCATCGTTCGCGCCGCCAGTGATGGAGACGCTGGCGAGGGTGACGATGCCCAGCGCGCTCGCCCGCCGCTTGAACGCGAGCATGCCCGACGCGCCTGCAGCCCGCCGCTCCTCTAATGCGCCTCTCCTCTCTCGCAGCTCGACGGCGAGAGCCTGCTCTACTCCTCCTACTCCTCCTCTACCCACGGGGTCTACGCCCTTGGCTCTGCGCGCCGTACGCGTCGGTCGAGGCGACGGTGGCGATCCGCTTGTAGCCAAAGAGGGAGTGGACGAGGTCGGCAAGGCCGGTCGCCTGGGCCGAGGCCGAGGAGGCTTGGGGCCGACCCGGTGCATGTGCAAATGCAGCATGTCATGTGCCTAGTCCGATGATGACGCCGCGGCCGGCTGCACATTCGACTGCTGCTCCACTCTCTGTCTATGGCCGCGCGCGCCCGGAAGCGACATCTCGGCTAGATCTCGGTAGATCTCGGCTGTCTCTCGGCTGCCTCTCTCTCTCGCCTGGAAGTCGTCTGACGGCACGGTGCGCGCAAAGTAGGGGTAGGTCGAGCCGTCGCTGAGCCCGGCGGACGTGCTCGAGTACGAGACCTGCGGGTGGCGCCGTGCGTGGCGCGCGTGTGGGGGCAGCAGCAGCTAGGAGCAGGCAGGCAGGAGCAGGGGTCCCAAACGTGCCTGCGGCGTCGACGACTCCTTGAGCGCCAACGCAGCGAGCGCCGACGGGCCCGACGACGCGGCGCCGACTATTGCGTCGCAGCCCTGCCCTTTGAACGCCGACGTCGCCAGCTCCCGCGCCTCAAAGAAGGCCGTCGCACCGTCCCGCCTCGAGTCGCGCTGTGTAAACAAGACCTCGGTCGTCGGCAGCAAATGGTCGGCGATGCCGTCCGTCTTGTTGTTGACCTCGCGGATCGCTTGCACAAAGGCAGCAAATCGGCGGGTGCCCGAATCGTCGGCCTTGAAGTCCTGCGCAGCTGTGCGGAATCTTGGGAAGAGCCCACACAAGCGGACCGAGCTCAGGGCCGACGAGGCTCCGGCCAACCCGGCAGAGAGAAGGAGCAGCGGCACCACCAGAGGTTGCTGCATGGCAACGGCTCTGCTGCTGCTTCTATGGGGCTCGAATGTACAGGCAGCAAGATTCCAGACGTCCTACGCCCAGCAGCTGCTCGCAAGTCACGGCCGTCAATGTCGGCTGCGTCCAGAAAGAAAAAATTCTTTTGGTGTGGGAGGACGGCACGCCTCCCTTGGGTTGTCTGTTTTCTTTCTTTCTTTTTTAGGACGGCACGCCGCCACCACACAGGGATTTTAAGCGCGAGGTGTGTGGTGCGCTAGCCGTCGCCCACCCGTCTGCCTCTTCCTATCTCTCTTCGCAGTCTCTCGCCGACGTGCCCACCCCGGGCTGGTCGTCTTGTCTCTTGATGGAGTATCTAGATTGGCGCCCTCTCTCTCCCATCATCCAGCTCGCTTGAGCCTCGCTGATGAGGTGCGACACAGATGCCTGGAGATGGTTTCTGCCAACATAGCTGATCTTCACCTTCCTAACATACATACATACACAGACAGTGACCGAGGGCACGGGACGTGGGACATGGCGCAAACGCACACATAGCTGAAATATACTTCGATTAGGAGTGAATAATCATCAGCTCGCTTGATCTCGCCCGCCGACTCATCAGCGGGGGCCCGATTGACGACCGAAACCCGACGAGACAATGTTTTCGCTCCTCGCCTCGCTACCTCCGAGCGCCGCCGCCGTCGCGATCGGTCCACACTTCGTGCCCTCCGGCAGCAAGCGGGTTTGGATCGGTGGGCGCCCAGCGCAGCCACTGCGACCCGAGCAGAGGCAATCGTTGCTTGCGGACTTGGCGGAGGCTGTGCTCGCGCCAAGTCCTTTTGCTTTGGTCGACATCCCTAAGCGTTCGACTCCCCGGTCTCGGCCCGTCAAAATGGCCATGGCCGACGCCGCCGACGAGGATCCGCTGACGGCCGCTCTTGGCCGCGAGGCACAGCGCTTTGCGGACGAGATGTCCCGAACTGTCAATGTCGACCATGCGGCGCTCGAGCTCGCGACCGCTGCGGCTCGTGACGCCACCATCACCACATTCGAGAGCGACGAAGCGGAGGACGATCGCTGGGCCTCCCTCTTTTTGGCGCGTGGCGCGTTCAGCGCGGAGGCGGCTTGCGCTGCCGCAGAGTTCCGCCGCACGTGGATCTCGCCGCAGCCGTGAGCGTGCCCTGGGGCCGCTCGGCCGACTGTGGATTGACTGTGCTGCATGTCTTCAAGTCCTCCTCCGTCTCATGTACAATTCTACTCGAATCAAAAGAGCGAGACGCGCCCTCGCTCTCGATCTCTCGTCAAAGACGTCTCGCGCCTCTCTCTCTCACGTCTCTCAGCCACAGGCTGAGGCACAGGGTCTCACATGTGACATGACCCGGCTCTCACGTCACTCGCTCTGCACACTGCAGCGCGTGCGGGGTGCGTGTACTCTACGTGCCGCGCGTACATGCACTCTAAAAGCTGCGCACAACACACGCGCTCGCGCGCGCGCCCCTCGGCGGGCATGCGCACACGAGAGACGACTCAAAGCTCGCTACTGCGCGGCCTAAGGCTGCCTTCGCTACCGCGTGAGCCTGGCCGCCCCGCGCGCCTCCAGCACGTCCAGGTAGCGCTGCACAGTCCCGCGCGCCCGCTTGGCGGAGCGCGCCAAGTCTGCAGCGTCGTCCTCGTCCCGCCTGCGCGGGTCCGATACGCCCTTGAGCACCTGAGGAGGAGAGAGGTCCCGGGAGGAGGTGGGTCGGCGAGGATGGCGGCGGCTGGTGCTCGAGCCCCTCCTCCCGGGCGCATCTCGGCGCATCTCGGCGCATCGTGGGTCGAGGCTATGGTACCTGGTACTCGAGCTCCTCGCGCACGTCCGCCAGCGCCGCCAGCACCTCCCGCTTCCTTGGCTCTGTGGCGTCGCCGGGCGTGCACGCCTCGAGGGCAGTGGTAAGCTCTGCGGGGTCGGCGAGGAGGCGCTCGTCCGTGAAGATCGCCCTCGTGGCGCGCACGTCCACGGCGAGGGCGTTGTTGGCCACCCGCGTCAGCCGCTCCGGCAAGGCCTCGAGGGCGGCGTACGAGCATCGCGGCGCCGCCGCCCTCGCCTCTGGCAAGGTGCAGCCGCACAAGCCCGCGCAGAGCAGCAGCGAGGCGGCGCCCACAGCGTTGCGCCGGCGCGCCGCAGGCGGCGGTTCGCGCGGTAATGCATCGTTGCCCGCGGCCCGTCCCCTCGCCCGCGCCTGCTAGCGGAAGAGCGACGGGTCGAACAGAACGCTGAAGCCCTCCTTCCGCAGCCGCCGCCGTGCCGCCCGCACCTTTTCTTCGCCGCCGAGGCGGCGGACGACAGGATCCGCCGCAAAACCCTCGCGCTCGCGCCCGTTGATGACGCGGAAGAAAGTGCCACCCAGCAGTGCAAGCGGGCCACCAGCGAAAGCCGTCAGGTAAAACTGCTGCCGTTCTGCGTCGGTCATTAGCTGCGCGGCGCGGTCACTGATGATAGCAGTGGGAACTGTGGGAAGCACCATGCATGGGACAAGAATGAGGCCCAGCAGCGGCATGTGATGGAGTCGCACACCGAGGTCCAACGCTGCGAGGGGTGGGGGCGCCAGGCGCCCTCCCACCACTGTTCATGTTCACACCGGGGGGCGAGAGCCCCGACTGTGGGCACAGGTTTCCTTCTTCTTGGAGGGTGGACTTCGGCGCGAGCTCGGGCGTCATGACCGCGCCCGTGAACAGCGCCTTGACCTTGTCCGGGGCCGACGGGCTTGACACGCCCTCGGCCCTTCCCTCGACGGCGGGGGGAGCTTCTCTGTGCGCGCGGCCTTTGCCTTGCGGCCGCTCGACAGTTCATGGTCTCCCTCGATCTCCATTAGTAGCGCCTCTTCACGACCAGCACGCTGTGAAATCGATTAGTCCCAACAACCGTTAAGAAAACCAAAATACGCCAATGACTGGTGTGTGCTGTAAGCTGGCTGTAAGCTGTGTCGCCACTTTTGTGTCGAGTCCGCCCTTCTCACAGGGGACTCCCTCTCTCTCTCGCTCCCTTCCTGCTCCCACCCTCCTACCCCTCTCTCTGATTTCTTTAGCTCTCTCTAACCTACGACATCGCCGTCGCCGGCGTCGCTCTGACTCGCGCTCGTTTCCCTTCACCGGCCGCACAGAGATTCAGTTTGCTTACACTGACTGACTCTCGCCCCCGGGGCCACCGGGCGCGTTTCAGCTTTCACACATCACACACTGGGGAAGCCCGCGAACTCTTCTCCGTCTTCATTTTTGTCGGAGCCACGTCAAAACTAATCTTAACCTTCTACCTTAGGCTCGAAAATGTTTTCGGTGTCATTCTGGTACACGTACGCCCCCTTGTAGAGCGACCAGAGAACGAAGGCTTGGAGGTGGTTGCCCACTTGGCAGAAGCAGGGCGGGAAGCAGAGGTAGCAGCGCAGCCACCACGCCGCATCGGTGACGTCTGACCTCTTCGTCGCCGTTTTGAACGTGAACGACGCGCCGGACACGCTCGTGGGCTTCTTGCACGCGAACACGGACAGCGGGAATGGGCATGTGGTTGGCCCTCCGCAGACTGATGTGTGGTAGCCGCCATTCACCAGCGGCTTGGAGACGTAGCCACCCCCGAGGTTGCCAAGGAGTGGGTAGCAGCCAGCGTACTTGTTTGAGTTGCAATTGAAGAGGCAGCAACCGAGAGCGGGTAGAATCAGCGGTGCAGCCGTGAGGTAGTCGCCAGCTTGGACCCACCTAGCAGCACGGCACACGCACGGCGTAGCCAGCCATCGCGTGGATATTAAGCTGGGCTAGCGCTCACCGCAGCGACGTGATTGTCCCGCCTTTCTCCGGCCACTGCGCTGTCTCGCCGACAGCACCGCCGCCTTCGCCGCGGGCGACCAACTTCGTCGCGATAGCCTCGGCCGAGTCTGGAGTGAAGGCGATGATTGACTCGTACGTGATGAGGCGCACCTGTGGGTACGCGTGCCGCGCCTGTAAGCATCGCGTCGCGCGAGGATGGACTCGCGTGTGCCACGAGGAGAGGTTCCACGCCTTGGCTTTGTACTTGAGCGCGATATGGACCGCCGCGATCGTCGCCTATGAGATCGCCGCGATCGTGGGGCGTGCCTGGATGCCACACTCGTAGGCACAGCATCTGCACCTGCGACCCCCCAAGACTGTGCCCTGTGATTGTGATATTCATGACATCGCTTGCGGCGTCGAAGGTCGGATCCGAGGCGGGTTTGAAGCCAGCGACCTTCTCGAGCGCCTCCGTCACGCCCATGGCTGGATGCTCGCCCCCACTCTCTCCGTCGAACATGTGCTCGTGCGCCTGAGAGCAGACGCGTGCTGTGAGCAGTGCCCGGCTCGTCCGACCCTTCTCGCGTGGAGGCTTCTCTCTCTCCTGCAGCTCCGCCGCATAAACGTCAAAGCCGGTGTCCACCTTCTCGCTGCCACCGTTTTCGTACCGCAGCCTGTGCGCCCCAATGCACTCTGTGCAGGAGCACCGACTGCAGACGTGTCTGATTATTGGATCGAAGCCGTCCTGGCAGCAGCCTTCAGTGATGCCCCCTTCGCCTTCGGTCCCCGCAAAGGAGAGAATGAAGGAACCGGCAGGAGCAAAGCTCATGTCGCCACTCGTCCAGTCCTCGTTGACCTTTGAGAGGTAGTACCTGCCCTGCAGAGATACCGCATCGAACTGCTTGCACCGCGTATCGTTTTTGAAGAAGGAGCCCATCTTCAGGTAGTTGACCGTGCCATCGCTCGTGCCGCCGCCCATGCGTTCACTCAGTGTCTCCAAGGTACTTGTAAAGTCAACACCGTTGAAGACGCGCACCGCATTTCGTTTGAGCGGGATGGCTTCAGAATCCTTGGCATCATCCGGCACAGCGTATGCGTTCCACGCATGCAACATCCAGAATGGGCCGGTCGCGCGAAGCGCCTGCTCGGCTGTCGGCTGGGAGAATCCACCGTCAATGCCTCGCGCCGCCGCCTGGACGGTGGAGTGTGTCCCGTGCTTTTCGCGCTGGTGCGCTACAAACGAAAGAGAAGGC